GCACTGCTTGGGGCCATTTGCCCAGGATCTTGTCTTGTGACGTCAGTAAACTTTGGTCTCTGAATGGGCCTCGGAATGTGGAAGTGGCCAGTGTCATTTTGTTCTGGTGCTGAGGGACTTCGCTTTACTTCCCTTGCAGCTCGTCGAAATGTTATTTAAGAATCCAGTCCGTACCGCGAAGAAAACACCGCACTTCACCGTCACAAAGATTAACCGACTAACGTCGTTTGAGGAAATAATCGCTGTTTATTCTGGGAATCATACGAACACATTCGTACTCTACGTTGGCGAAACGGAGAGCTATTCAATGTTAAAATGGGTGGTACGTATAGTTACCAGTGAGTTTTAAAGGGTTAAAAATGTTTCTGCATCTTCCGATATCTATGATGCGTGCCGCGGGCCGCGTTTTGATTTTCGCGGTGCAGTGAATTGACAGGAATAAGAAGTTTGTCGAGTTTCGATTGTCCCTAGTTTAAGCTTTTCGACCCAACTGCACGGACCAGAGTCCTCCTTGACAAGCTGACAGCCGCTGACCTGGTGAAGATATTCCCCGCCTGTGGTGGAACCCCGAGAAAATCGGCGCCGTCGTCGGTGGACGCAGCGAAGCTTAACTTCTGTTTTAGCCTAGTTCTCGCTCTTTCGTGTTGCGTGGATATTTTCAGCCTAATCGTTCATGGTTGCTCATGGCGGACAGAGCCCACAAATGCTTCTTACTCTTGATACATAAATCATTTTCCCACGTGCAGAATAATCGTGGAAGAAATTAATATTTTATGTTTCTCAGACTTCCTTTACTAGAAGTGTTTTTTTAAATATAAAATTCGACTTGGTTGTCTGAGGGACTGTTTCACTGCAAACTCTTGAGAGATCGGAGTAATATTAAAATGAATATTGAAGACATCTGACATGTCGGTGTGAAGTGGATTGAATTGGCTCGGGATGTGGCCCAGTGGCGGGTTCCACAAGAAAGCGGGGAATTTCCCGTCAGCTTCTCAAGAGGAAAGAGTCTGTTCCGTGGAAAATCAGGTCAGAGAATGGAGCCTCTGTCACGCGAGGAATTCGACAGGACTGGGCGTGTGTTTGCCGACCAGCTTACGAAATCCGCAGCTGCAGAGGGCATTCGCAAGTAGGTGGCTTCGTAACGGTGGCTGTTAATTAGCGGGGTCTAAAGAACACGACAGGACACTGAACTTACGGAGTCCGTGCAGAACGGAGGGCCCTTTGAATACACGAAGCGCTCCTGGTCGCCGGAGAAGCTGGTAGTCGCTCAGTCAGCCAGGAAATTACTGGCCGTTCATGGAACCCGAAAGTTCATTAAGGCATTCCGTAATCTGGTAGATACCGATGTTTCGGAGGAGATTCGTTCCTCCATCATCAGAATAGCCGCCTTCGGACTGACCGCCGTGAAAACCCCAAATCTTATTAAACGGGACCTCGTTCTGTTTCAGGTGCGCTGTTACGGAAGCGACTGACATCGTCCTGAAGACGGCCCTTGGGATCACCGGAGAAACGTGAGAGGAGCTTTGATTACTGCAGAACCTAAACGTGTGTAACTGATCGTAGACGTAAGGACTGGTGCGATTTCTTCTTCTTCAACGTAGTCGTTCAGACCCGACACGGGACTGCGTGTCCTTCCCTGCAGGGATCTGTAAGGCGAAGTGTTATTGATGCGTCAGTCGGTGTTTGCTTTAAAGTCAACATTGCAGTGACCGCTGTTACCGGCCACTGGTCTTTCGTTAGCTACAAATTAGCGTTTACCGCTGTTTGTGCAACCAGCGTCCTCAAAGTGGCCAGGAACGTGAGTGCGTTGATTTTTCAAAATTACTAACGTCTTATTCTTCTTCTTCTCTCTCTCTCTGTCTCTTTTTTTAATAGCTGTCTTTTGTCTTGTAATTTTAATTACGTCGAAACTTGGCTGAAGCAGTTTGTGAGTGGATGTTTTAATTTCACAGCGGAATCGCGATGAACGTCCAGACACTTCAAACATTAGAAATCTTCCTTCGAGTGTAAAAATTAATCCAAAATGTCTGTCTGCCCTGCGTGACAGCAAAATGCCCCATCCGGGCCGTGTCTCAGCGAAGAGAGGGCAGAACGGGCGAATGTTAATTAACGTTGTCTTTTGAGCATTTCTCATTCAGATGACAACGTTACTGCTTCGTATTCAGAATCTCGGCTCGGAGTGGTTTTACTGAGTCCTTCCAGGCAGATGGGATAGCACTTTAAAATACGCCACGACCGCTTCCTTCCTAATGCTTTGGAGCGAAAATTATCCGACCGCCGTATCTCAGAGACGTCTGGCTTCTGTCTCGTTCTGCTCCGCCGAAGAGGAAGTCGAAGGAATTCGGAAGCCCTGAGCAATTGCTGATGACTCGAGGGCTCGAAGGGACCGCGCGGACGCTGGTTATTTGCAGCGACACAACTCACCTTCTACCTTTATATATAAAATGTTATGTCCTGTAAGTAAGTAATTAATTGAGACAGGGCATCCTGAACACTTAAAGCTGTCCTCAAAGTGGTAAATACATTCAAAATTTTCGTCGCACAACCTGAAGGGAAGAGACCATGTTTATATGAAAGATAATATTAAAACGGATCAGTCTCGATTAGTCTGCCTGAGGACTGGGTCCAGTGGCAGGCTCCTGGGAATACGGTAATGCACTTTTGACGTCGTGATAGTGGGAAATTTCTGACCAGCTAAGCGACTAGTAGCTTCTTAAGAAGGACTGTGCTCTGAGGAGTTGGTGGTTGGTTGATTAGTTTGTAAGTGATTATGGAGACAGTCTTGACAAAGGGTGATAATGGTTTGGCGGGCCATTCTGTCTTCCGCTCCACTGTTTATCAACTTCCGCTCCTTGTAATGGAGCCCGAGAAAGGGAGAGCCACGAGATGCAGATAGAAGGCGCCCTCTTAGTGCACGGCGCCTCTCTGCAGCGACCAAAGTCACGCCGCACAGGGATCTGGCCTCGTCCTTGTAAATTCTCCAGTTTTCGCGATGTTCTTCATAAAATGTTGTTTTAGTAAATAACAGGTATTTGTAATTTATGCACGTTTATTAAGTTGTGACTATTTATTTATATATAAGTATTTATTAAAAGTACTTTTGTTTGCTGATTCATGACTTGTGTGTTTCATTTTGAAGTTTTCAGCGGACACGATCAGTTGATATGCCTACGGAGAACGCGTAGGACGATGTATAACCACTGTTTCTCGTGGTAAGTTTGTTTAAACTGATTTGCCATTTTTCACAAACCATGCAGAGACGACGTGTGTAAGCGCGGGGGGGGGGGCATTTCTTTTCGATAACTTCCGGAAAGGACGTCGCTTTCAGTTGTTGTAACCTCTCAGATTCTCCTAATGAGCCCAAACATGAAGATGACGTAATTGAAATCTTTCTTTCCTTCACATTCCGTAGTCAGGCGGCATGAAGGGACGACAGGAGACAAAGATGAAGCTTGTGTTGACTTTATCTTAATTTCGCAAGACCTCTGTCCATCTGAAGCCGAACACAGTTCCGTTACTGACAGAATAAAACAAATGAACGATGCGATGTAGCCACAGAGTTAAAAAAATATTGGCTTTTGTATGCCACGTCTCAGTTCGTTATCTCAGGGTTTTTCTACTGCGAAGTGCCTGTCAGGAACTACGTAAGAACAACTGAGAGCCTGCGTTTTCCTTTTGGAAGTTCACCGAATAACGGCGGCTTAGCCAACGCGATGCGTGTCCAATGCAAACGTCGAACCCGAGCTTTCGGATTCTGCGCAGTTGGCAACATCGTATTTCTTTTAATGGCGTTCCCGCAGGTACTGAAGTTACGTAGTGTCGACGGGAGAATGTCTTTGATTGACGAAATGTTAAGGATGAGGAAGGAAGCGAGCCCTCCTTCCCAGAGTTTGAGTGGAGGAACTGGGGAAGACCATGATAGCCGGCCTTTTAATACGAGAATCTATCATCGGACTTCCAAAATGCGACGTAGGACAGTCACCGACTAAGTCGCGACGTTCCGTGACGTAATAACTTTTTTATATACAGCCTGTGACACAAGAGAGACATAATGAATACGTATGGGGATCTTACACAGGGCCTTTCAAGTGTAAAACATGTTTCAATCACAGCGCCATAGCCACTAACAGACCGAAGGTCGTCTAATTTTGTGTTGTTTTCTTTGTGTAAATCACAGTCAAACTGTGGCTTAAAACATTCGCGTTGCAAGACTGAAGAAAGACTCGAAACACTTTCAAGACAGCTGGCCGACAGTAGAATAGGTAGGTGACTTTCAGAATACACTGAGCAAGCTTGGTCAGTGCTCGGAACATGTTCATTCAGCTGCATTGTCTGCAAAGTAAAACTCGAACTGTAACTGTCTGACGTCACTTTGCCTTGTTTCGGGTAACGCTGCTCTGCTATCCGAACAGGTGCTTCCCTCTGGTGGCTGTTTCCTTATTGCCGCTGTTATTCCAAGCGAGTGCACTCCCTGTACTAGTTTTTATGTGCTGTGTTCTCTCAAGTTTTAAAGTTGTGAATGTGTTTTGTGTGTTTGTATTTCTGAAACTCGTGTTTTTTAAGGGTATTTATAGTGGTGTACTGAAAATTAATAGCTTGAACAGAAAAAGGAAGTAATTATATGATGACCGGCATGAAATGGCGGGTGTACGTGACAAACCGAAGTCGTTCAAAGTTTCGTGTTTTGATTTGTGTGGTTATAAAAAGCAGAGAAGAAGGATTTGACCGTCGAATGAAGCTCCAAACGACAGATAACACGGTGAGTTAACAAACCAATTAGCATCTTCTTTCCTAATGTTGTAATGCATAGAACATTTTACAGGTGATGGATTTGTGAAGGATTGCATGTCCCCATGTTTAATTCCCAGAAATCGTAATGATAATATCAGTTTGTCTATACATGGACTCAGGTTTGACGTTCAATTCAAATTTAAAGCTAAACTTTCGTATTTTGTAACCAATTATCCGTCGTAGTGAACAGTCGTAAACTTACGCTTCATTTGAAGTAGGGTTTCAGGTTGAAGCGGGCATTTGCCTTCGTTTCGTTAGACAACAGACCTTCGTCAGGAAACTTCTAGACAGTTTTGGATTTAGTGAACAAAGAATGGGATGGGCAGAACATTGCTTTGATGAAAATTCGGGGGTCCGGCTGACCGTGATGTTCCGAAAGCATTTCGTAGTTTCCATTGTAATACGAGCTGGGGCGTTCCTGCTGGTGATGGCGCAGCATGCAATGGGCCTCCAGTGTCACGTAGTGATCAACTTCCTTCAGAAAACAAAGTTTCGGGAGGTCAGTGGGGTGACATGAACGACAAACTTTCAAGAGCCACAAGGTCTACTGCTCCTCAGCGACACCTCCAGAGCAATGCTGCTCAGAAGCTGGTAGTAGCTCGTCTGGTCAATAGTTGCCTCGTACCTGGTCACATTTTGTATATATTTTCCAACTCTCCCATCTGCCTGTCTTAAATGACTTTAATTACCCCAGGGTCGTCTGTCTCAATACCAAAAACGCGATATTCGGGTAATGAATAAGAAATTTCGGTGCGTATGATAATACGAAGTTTAGGTACATTCTGTGATCATATACGGAGGTCAAATTAGGTCCAAGATGCTGTTGTGTCAGAGAAAGAGGTCAGTTCTCTCGTGTTGTGGCATTCCACGATTTATTTTACGTTCGCTTGTAAATTACTCTCGTGTGGAAATGGCTTTCTTCGGTCCATTTAACTGAAGCTGTGCAGCTACAAGATAAAGAACTCGCTTGATATTCGAGGTGGTCGTTTCTTCATGCACGGAGTGAGCAGCGCGTCGTTTACTACGTCTTTGCTCCGACTGTGGCAGGTAATGGTGCTGAAGTCGAATTAATTTCTTGCTGAGCCAAGTGAGACGGTGACGATTCACCTCTTGTGGGTTGCGACGTGTGTCTTCATCTTCAGCACTGAAGATGGAGACGGTATGTTCCTACGAAACGATGGCGCCCACTTACCAGCCTACATGACGTCACAGCCCACAAGGTCATCTTCTTCACCGCCGTGAGAACCTCACCAAGGTTGACGCAAAAAATATGTTTTCCTTTACAAGTGTTTCCGAATTGCGGTGGAATTTTCTAGACAACATCGTGCAAAAAGTAGTCTCTTTCAAAGTTGTGTTCAGAATTACCAAAATCTAATTACGTGCCAGCTTTAATCACCGAAGTTCGCAACTGATCCTCGTTTGTTTCAATAAACCCTCTAGAGGATCGCGAAGATACTTCTCTGGAACAGAGAGGCCAATGACGTCATCTCTCAAACTTAAATTTTGAATGAATTTATGAACTGCCATCAGTTGCTTTGATAGGCTGTCGGGAATTATAATACGCGATTCTTCCGTCAGAATTCTCTGCTATAAATTGTCGTCTGTAAACATCGCATCAAAATGTCGCCCGTCTGTAGGTTTTACGTGACGATCGTGTAATGAAAGCAGAATCTGTGGATGCGTTTGTGATCTGTCTTTGCAACAAATTTCGCGATGAACGACTCGAAGACGATAAGAGTCGAAGAGGCTTTTTAGCAAAAGCGATCTATGGCCACAGCTGTTCCGTTTCAATTAAAACAAGACTGGAGAGGTTTAATCTTTGGAGTACCCTGACATTTCAAAGGGAGTAACTCAACCAATGATGGCCTATGAAAGGCAAACTTATTCTTGTAAAAATGTGATGAAAGGAACGACAGACAGACGGACATGGACGGGCCTGTGAGGTTTTATTTGCCTACATTAAAGCGTAAAGAACGCCTGCGCCTGGCGCCACGGTGGGGAATTATGAGAAATTGGGCATTGCAGTAAAAAAGTCCATGGGCACGTAAGACTTTCGATGACCCGAGCGGAGCACGCGTTCAATAAAACCTTTGAAAGTGTCGTAAAATTAACGTAAAACACGAGCAGTTCAACAAAGCGGTCACACGGACGTGTATTGGGTTGAGGGGGTGGCCAGACACTTCCTTTCGCGATTTTACTTGGCCACTACTGGAAAGTGTCGAGCCATTACCGTTTCCTTCTGTACCCTTCCCCACTCTCCCTCCACCTTCACGTATGGAGTTCAAACACGTCGTTAAACTAAGAGCGGCCTTCACTGCGTAATTCGACCAGGAGATGATACGTCTGACTTGGCTTGCGTGGGACTCAGAGGGAGAATTGGATGCGGAACGTTGGCCACATTGCATGACGTCTAAGTTTGGACGTCGGAGATTTATGGGGCCCTTCAGTGAACATCATGCCATAGGACCCGCAGTCCTTGAGACCGCCAGTCTGGAAGGGCTTGCTCTCACCACCACTCCGTCCGTCCGTCCGTCCGTTCGTTTGAGATCTTGGTTCAATTCCCACATGGATCAGCCGACGTCGGCTTTTCACATTTGCAGTTCATCCAGCGGATGCGGAGATCGAAGCCCGAAACGATTATGTAAGTAGGACTCAAACGAGCAGGGCTTCAACGAGGTTTAGTGAACAGAGCAGTTCGTAGATGTTGAGGGATTTGAATGCGTAAAGGAGAAATCATTTTTACAGAGTGCCATAAACTGTTTCAACTGATCGTAAAAATCACTTATAATTAACGAAAGGCTCACGTGTAGACTCGATGCTGAAATACAAGTAACTCGACGGTTCAACGCCGCCATTGGACACGAATCCTAATATTATCATGTAAGTGGTTTCCCTATCAAAATTCTGTGTGCGTTTCTTGTCTTCCTCATTATGGCCCGTATAAATCACGAAGATCTCCGTGTGTTTGGCTACACTTGTGACATCTCTTACTTTTATCCGCGTGAAAGTTCGTCTACCGCATTCGACCAACATCAGCTAATTTCGGGCATTGGCATTCTCGATTGAGCAGTCAACTGATGCCGTAATTGTGACTCGGTCGTCAGATTCTCGTTTGTGGAAGCGAGACACGTCACTGCGAATACGAGGGTGACGGTTCGATAGCCACGCCCGATGTCAATTTTACGGATTCGACTGAATTATTTTTATTTGATGACTGTTCATTTATGGAAAGTTCAGACGCATTTCGTTAGAAAACAAGGCGCTTAGAATGATGACATCTCTTGCGCGGTGTAATTATCTCTCACATTTGTACGAAATGTTGTCTTTCTGTTTTCCATTCGTCATGCTTCGTGTCTGACCTTCTTCAGGAGGGCAAGGCTCTCACTGGGTTAGCCTTTCCCCGTTCTGCTGTGTTACCTCAGGGGCGGAAAGCGCCACACATGGCCCCCGCTCTGCTCAGGGGCGGAAAGCGCCACACATGGCCCAGGAGATCGCTTAACTTCCCTGAAAGTGTCCGTGTCTTCTTTTGGCCTCTGTCGACAAGTGTAGTTTCTGAACGTCTTTAGTTCAGATCCCGTGGAAGAGGCCGTTCCCGAACGAGACACCGTCGCGGCAAGTGTTGAAAGACTGCAGGAGAACGCCCAACGGCCGTTCCGCACTGCCTCCGTTGCCACCGTCCCCGAAACGTCGTCATGAAACAAACACTGAAGCGCCGAGACTTGGGCGGAGGTCACTCTTAGCCGGTTGAAGTGTTCGCCGTTCAGCAGTGCCAACGCAAGATCATAAACCTCCAATCACACAAGATAATTCCGCGCGCGCAGACGAGATTGGTCGACTCGGCGGCACTTGAACTGGCGGGTCTCGGAGAAACCACGATTTGCCGTACTCCAGGAAATAAAAGCAGAAGAATTGAAGATTAAACGCCACATTTAATGGACACCAACTGAGTCTGATTTGCGCCGAGTGCGGGGGGTGGGGGTTGCTAGAGAGGTTTAGCAGGAAGACGGTAGTAATTGCGTGATGAGGAACTTCGTAAGTTGTAAGTTTTCACAGGATTTTCTGTGAGTAATGAAATCAACGAGGCCGGGGCATGTAGCACGCATGGCAACAAGAGATTTGTGCCCGTTCGTGACGGTCTGTTACGGAAGGGAACACGGAGTAGCCTCTCGCTTCTTGGTCAGTGTTTGTGCTGTAATGCCCGACGTAAACTTAATTTGCATTGCACAGTGACGTATTTCCACAAGGGACGAGCCTCGGAGCGCTTAACGAGCTTCAAGATTACGCTTGAATCAAGCCGAGTTCTGCCCCGTCCCGAACTCCCTGAATCTCTGCTGTTCCCTCGGTCTGAGAGGTCGGCTGCCAGGCGTGCGAAGGCTTCCGACTTTTGGATGTGGACGAGGAGCCGACATATTCCGAACTGCCCGGCAACAAAAATCGGGAGTCTAGTGATTTTCGAGATTACTCAATCTAAACGCTGCCTTTAGGAATTGCACTTCAACAGAAAAAGCTTTGAACCTACTTTTGTATGTGAATTTTCGTGATCCCAGCTTTTATGCGTCAGACACAAAGTTCTGTTTACTCGTTACTAATATTTGGCATCCGAAATTAATATTTTTCTTTCTTTTTTCAATTTCGACACTGCATCTGAGTTCGTAACGTGGCTTTAAAGTTCACATGTGGAGAGAAATGAACGATCACGTGACTTTACTCTTAGCAAAGACCCCGTAACGTGACACAAATGTAACTTTTTTCCGACGACGTGTCTTAGAAAATTCCCTTCCCTCCAGGCGGACTTGCAAACAATGAACGACGTCTTTTGATACTAGCAGCAAAAAAGGACTCGTGTTTTTGGAGCCGTTTCAATGCTGGGAACTGACGATTTCAATACTCAGCTCTGGGAGGAAAAGTAAAGAGTCTACTTTAGAAAAGGTAGGTGAAGGAGGTTTATAAAGATAATTAAACCCCATT